TTTAAAATTTTATTAAAAAATTTTAAAATTTAAAAAAGTTTGCAGGCAAATTTGGCTGCAAAACAATTTAAGAGATATTTCTTTTTACTCTTTTGGTGTTTTTTAGGTTTTTGTTGATCGCTTTCATTCTGTTTACTTTTTAAAACTTCTTCCTTTTTATCTCATACTCCTTGAAAAGAAGGAAGAATTAGAAGAGAAAAAAAAGATTTTGATATAGTATACAACAAACTGTTATAACTCTTGGAAGTAATTTTGTTGTTATGAAATTCAAAGAAAGTTTTGAATCCTGGAAGTGACTAATAGTTGTTATAGCTGGTCGCATTGGGCTTAGGTTTGGTAAGCTTTTATTAGTCTCAAATATTAGTCTTTTTGATATATCACAGCATTATATAGCATTTCATTTAATTAGTGATCCACCAGTCAACCAGAGAATGATCATAGTAAAATGTAACTCAAATTACTTATAAAAATTAGAGGTCTCCAAATGTGGCATGTGCACATCTAAAACTTTTTTTTATACTAAGTTAATTATTTTTCTAACTTAAGAGACTTTTGTAGAGCTTGTCAAGGCGCATCTAATGGTGGTAAGAGCGTCAAAATCGGCTTGGTGAATGCCAGGATATCTTTAAAAAACGTTTCTTTTACTATGAAAACTTCTTTGCAAATAATACTATTGTTTGCAAAGAAGTTTTCATAGTAAAAGAAATGTTTTTTAAAGATATCCTGGCATTTACCAAGCCGATTTTGACGCTCTTACCACCATTAGATACGCCTTGACAAGCTCTACAAAAGTCTCTTAAGTTAGAAAAGTAATTAACTTAGTATAAAAAAAAGTTTTAGATGTGTGCACGCCACCTTTGAAGACCTCCAATTTTTATAAGTAATTTGAGTTACATTTTACTATAATCATTTTCTGGTTGACTGGTGGATCACCAATTAAATAAATAAAAGCAGGATTGCTTAAAAAAAATAATAATAATAATAATTTAATAATAGTTTATTATTTTAGTGATCATTATAAATTCATGATAATTTTTCATCTGATTAAGTAAAACTTCTGCTAATTTATTTCTACCACCCAATGATTTTCAAATATTAATAGCTGCTTTAGATATAATTTGAAATCCACCAATTTGTAATCTAGCTCCTAAAATAATATAAAAAATATATATAAATAAAAATTTTTAAAATATATATATAGTATAAATTATGTAAATACTAACTATGATATTTAGAATAAAAAAAATACTCTAGTTTAAAAATCTCAAAGTCAAATTCATCTCATCTGCAGTTGTAAATTTAACACAAATATTTTGAAATTCACTATATTCTGGCCTTATTGAAATATGATGTATTGCAGAAGCTAATTGAACTAATTTAATGTAAACATTAGCTAAAGTTGTTGATTAATATTTAGCTTCTTTTGCAAAATGCTAAATATTCAACATCATTAAAAAAGTTTTAAGATTTAATAATACTAGTCACATTATTTAAAACTAGATTTGGTAATTTTGTAAAATCTAATAAATATTATAAAATAGATTTATTAAAATATATTGAGTACTTTTAATTTATTAATAAATAAATAATTTACTATAATAAAACATGATTTTAATTATAAAATTGACATAAGACAATTTCAAGCTATTGACTATTATATTTTTACTTAAGTTTGAATTCTATCACTAGTAATTAAAAATTTATATTGTAATTCTCAAAGTAATTCTCTAGCTTGATGAGATACTTTAACCTATTTTACAATTGATTGGCACTTTTTTAATATATCTGAGGCCCAATGTTGCTTAAGTATATCTTTTGTAATAAGATTTATGTAATGTACAATACAATGAATTAGAAGTAAGTGTGGATATTTTTCATTAACAAGATTTTTTGCTAATTTTATATTGGCAGCACTATCTGATACAATTTTTTCAAACTTTTCTACACTAGTAATTTCAATAATATCTTTAATTTCTTTAGCAAGAAATTTTTCTGTATGAGATTGTCTCGAGTAATTTCAAAGACTATATAAATACTTTTTCTTATTTGATGTCATTAATAAATAAACATAGATGCTTTGCCCAATTGGATTTGTCCAACTATCAAAACCTAATAAATAAAATTATAATTAATTCATATATAATAAATATTATTTATTATAATTTATACTGTAATAATAATTTATATTTACCAAGTGTTAAATCTTTTTTATTTTTTATTTCATTTTTAATTTTTATTGTAATATTTGCAACTTCACTTTTCAATAAAGTTGTTAATATAGGGGTGTGGCAGCTTAGTGAAGTGGCTAAGTCGTCACCTTCTCCAAGTAGCAGATCTAGGGTTCAAATCCCACAAACAACGAAAGTTTGAAAAATAGGTTTGTGTTACGGTAACAGATCTTCATTAAAGTTGGAGCTTAGATTAACCTGTAACTTCGAGTCACACCAATGCTCTGTATTGGAAAGTTGTCACTGTCGGGCATCTGCGTACTACCGAGTGGATATAGGATGTCCCG